GCCCAGCGCGGAGCCCGCCCGAGGGGCAACGCGGGCCACCGCCTGGCAGTGCCCCCTCCCGCTCGGTGCCCCGGGACCGCTGGGCCGAGCCCCGCAGCGAGGCCCTGAGCACCCCCCAGCGTCAGGAGACCTGCTACTTCTCCGCGCCCCCGTGCCCACGGCCTGGACGCCCTGTCCGCCTCGGTGCCCCGAGGACCCCTTCGCCGTGCCCTGGCGACTCAGCTTCCGCAGGGCCAGAGCGCCCCTTCTGCCCTGGCACCCACCGGGATCCCATCCCCAAGCCCCTCAGCGACACCCCTCGGGGCGGGAGGGCTCCCCGCCTCAAGGCACTGTACCCCCTTTCTGAGCTCCTCAGTGTCCCCGCCCCCGGACCGGGACCCCTTCCCCGAGCCTCGCTGCGGAGCTGCTTTGCCTCCCGCCTGGCCGTCCCCGCGGGGCAGCGGCCCCCCGCCCCTCTGCCCGGCCCCAGCCGCGCCTGTTGGGGCGACCCTGTAACTTCTGCCTTCAGAGCTGCGGAGCTGGTTTACCTGCTTGGCCCCGCTAGAGGCAGGTCGCGGTCCTGGAGCGGCCCGCTGTACCCATCCTGGACGCCCCCTACCTCCTCCTCCCCTGAGGCCTCTTTGAACTTCTCCAGTACTCAGGTGGCGGTCCAGCCCCAAGAGAGAGAAAAGGAGAGGGTGATGGGAAACTTCTCCCTGCAGTGCCTAGCGGGCTGAGTGTGTCATGCCGAGTCCTGTGTCCTGGGTAACACCGCAGTTTAAACAGGTTATCCGGCTCGGGCTCCGGCTCCGAAAGCCTAGGCCGGGTCTTTGGAGGTGGGGCTCTGGATCAGAATGGAAGCTGGGACTTTGCTTACTTAGCTTTCACACATCTTCTTGGTAGCAGAATCCTTTCCAAGTTAAAGAGTGGGCAAGAGGGCGTTGCCTGTCCCACTTAACTTTCTCTGCAGGTTGTTTGGGTGTTGAGCATGGGACATTTGTGAAAGGGGAGGGAAGAGTTCATTACCGATCTGTGAGAGCAGAAAAACCAGCCTCTGGGTTCTCCACCCAAACTTAAGTACTGCGTTGTTGGAAAGACAGGATTTTTTGCTGGTGAAAGAAAACTCAAGAGTTTTTGTTTTGTACTGGTGCGGGGGAGGGAAGTGGAGCAGGCCTGTAATTCCAGCACCCAGGGGGCTGAAGCAGGAGGATCACTGTGAGATTGAGGCCATCCTGGGCTACATAGTGAATTCAAGGGCATCATGAACTGCATAGTGAGACCTAGTGTCCCAGAGTACCCCCAAGAAACAACAACGACAACAACAACAAAAAAGAGTTGCTTCATTTACTTGCCAACTTGGGTTGGTGCCAGGACTTGGTGTTCTGGTTTGCTGTGTAACTTTGGGCCATGCCTGTGTGACTGAGCCTCAGTTTCCTTATCTGTAAAGGGCCGGTGATGCTAATTCTCTTGCAGGGTGTTGTGAAAGATTAAATGATATACTGTTGGTAACATGGGTAGAGGAGGCAATCAACATATTTTAATAATGCTTTTTATAGTGCTTTGAAGTTACCAAGTGCTAGAGACCTCATTTACCCTGGGAATGCTCTAAGCTTCCCGTGTGATGAATCCCTGAAAAAGGCAAAGCTTAGTTTTAGATCAGTAGAACAAGGATCTCCAAGCACTGTAAACCTGAGGCTCAGTAAGTAGTTTCTGAGTGATTGCTGCTTTCTATGAGACTTTTACAATTTGTTCACTTCTACTGTTTGCCGTGTATGAGGAGTGAGGGAGGGACATTCTGAGAGCCAGGATATGTCAACATAACTGTAACCTAGTAACCCCTTAGCTCTACTTTGCCATCTGTGTATTCAGGATTTAATGTCCTCTATGGAGAGAGAGGTATGAGTAGAAATGAACTGATTCCTCCTCTGGAAAGGGCAGAGTGAGAAGTCTGAAAATTGTTCAGTAAGGCAAGTCTGTGCTTATGTTTGTTGGAAAGTGGCATCTCTCCAGTCACCTTTGCTTTGCTAGGTCAAATATAGCAAGCAACCTTTATGTAATTTAAACCCTAAATCTTAGTGTGAGTCTGGGATGAGGGCAAATAACCATTGTGATAAGTAGCCCAAGTTCTTAATTCAGCACCTCACTAGCTTGGTTTCTGGTGCTAGTGAGGCTCTGAATAACCTAGTCCATTGGTGCTTCTGAGACTTCCTCTCTAGTTCCAGAAGCAGTTTTTAGAGCCATCCCACATGTTCTTCAGCGTCCCATCCTGTCAAGAGCCTACCCACTAGTTTTTAAAAGTCCTTTCAATAAAAAACACGTTTTATGCTGAAGATATGCCAAGCCTGCCATTTCATATTTTGTAATACTGTAATTTTCTCTAAAATTTTGTGGATGGAAAAAATTATTCCAATACTTATATTCTGCACAATTTTATAATATTTAAATTACTGGTGGTTTGCATTTTTGAATGCTGACTTTATAGAAACAGTTAGCTCATTCCCCATCAATGCTACTTCTAATTACAGTGTATAGGCAACCCTGAATGATCCCCCTTCACTCCATTCTTTTCCTTCCTTTACAACTGATAAGAAGGAGGATAGAGATTGAAGGGGGAATCTAGACTGTCCTCTGAGGGAGGAAGGCAGTAGAGCCATGGGGCCAGTGAGCTCTCAGTAGTGGGTTCTCCTGTGGGATTTACTGACCTTTAGTGGAGAGCTATGAAGCCTCAGTGGACTGGGGTTACTTGAGTTCTCTGCATAAGGCAAATTGCTCAAGGCAAACGGCTCCCTTGGGAGTTTTACAATGCTTGGGTCTTGTAGGTGAATGTCGGTAGAGCTTATCCATTCAGGTTACAGTTGCCTTTTATAAATGTGTAAGTTGATGTTTGTTCTTCCTTAACACTTCATCGGGAGCTTCTCTCATTAGCCAGTAGTATGTCTTGCCATAAAACCTAAGGGATTAGTAAATAGCAAGAGAATCATTCTCTCTACAGTCTTGCCCCTTTTGGGGACTTCACTGTGCTAATACTGTGGAGCTAAAGGAGTGAAGCAGACCAACATTCGTATCAGTTACTTGCATGCTCAAAATGAAACACCATTTTGACCTAGCCTCAGAGAACTTTAATTCTTTTGTGAAAATTTGTTTTGGCCCCTGGAGAAATAATTTAAATGTTTGAGATATGCAGTGAAGTCCTTTGTACATCTGAAAACAGTGATGTCTAACCTATGGCATATGTGCTGCTACAGGCTGTTAGAATTACGACATGTAGGCTTACTGCTAATCAAGAGCAAGTTGGTACACTGAGTATAGATGTTATTGATAATACTTGTTGTTTAGCACAGTTAGACCAAAAGTAATAAATGATTAAGGTAAAATAGATTGCTTCACAGTATCCAGATCAGGAATTTTTTTTTTTTTGAGACAGAGTCTCACTGTGTAGTTCAGGCTGGCCTTGAACACTCGGTGATTCTCTTGCTTCAGACAACTCTGACTTTGTAGTGCAAAAGCAGCCACAGACAAACTATAAATGAACAGGTATAACTGTGTTCCAATAAAACTTTATGGAATGGTTTTGAATTTCATATAAATTTTATATGTTATAATATATTATCCTTTTGAAATTTTCAAATTTAAAATGCAGGCTTAGCTTATAGCCATACAAAAAACAGGCAGTCCAGGTCTGGCCCTCAGGCTGTACTTTACCAAGTCCTGCTCTAGGTCTATGTGTTTTGATTTTTCTTTTTTCAGTGTCCACAGGTCTGAAAAAAGTGACAAGGAGGCTTGCCTTTAGTGAATGGATGAACCTTTTACCGTTTACTGTTAATTAACTTTAAGATACATATGGGAGATCTCCAGCAATCGGGAACACAACAACAACAAAAAAAAGCAAAAGGTGTATATGGGAGTCAGACACAGTGTGCACACCTGTAGCCCCAGCCACTTGGGAAACTAAGGTAGCAGGGTCACTTGAGCCCAGGAGTTCAAGGCTAGCCTCGGCAACCTAATGATGAGTCTTCATCTCAAAAGACCAAAAAAGACACGTATGGAAGAACATTTTTAAATGGTAAATTTAAAATTTTACCATGATTTTTAAAAATAATACTTGTGAAGGACAGTTCATGCACATACATTTGGATCTTTAATTAGACACTTTAAAAAGGGTTTAAAGGGAAATTCAGCGTGGTTTAGTGCACAACATAAGGACAACAGTACTTGCCCTGGAATTAGCCTATAGTGTGATTGTTCAGCTATGCCTGCAGATGTTGCTTGGAACAAAGCGTTAAGAGATCTGTTTCTCAGAGGAAAGCCCAGGCAGCAGGTGGCACCAGCCCTGAGACCTAGAAAAACAACCAGGAGAGAAAAAAGAAGAAAGCAAACTTCTGTCACTTTCCTAAGCAGTTAATTTTTATTGCCATGGTTCCATTGTCACATATAAAGTGATAGTTGCAGAACAACAGTGTGCTTAGCGTGGCTGATTATTTTGTTTTAATTAAAACATTTTTTAAAAAACAAAATGAAACAAACATACCAAATTGATTGTGGTTGTGGAACACTTAATGCAAAACATTCAAGAGAGGCCGGAAGTTTGGATCTGTAGCTTTTGTCTGAATTTTTGCCTCCCAAATAAGGACAACCTAGCAGAAATCAAATAGAAAACTACCTGCATAGGTTTTGAGATGAGATTTCCTTGAGCCCCTGAACACCACTTGGAGGTTAGTTTCTGGCTGGCTCGTTGTGGGGCCTCATAAGAGTGAGAAGGATGACTGACATTTCTTCCCTCTTTAGTTTGACCTTGAGACTCCAGGAAGTATTCATCTCCAAGGAGCAGTCTAACGTCTCTTTTTCCTCCCTCTCTTATCATTGTCTTCTTTTGAAGAGGGCAGTGCCTTTTCCCAGACCTCAACTTTGGAGTCATTGTTTGGATTTAGGCTGAACAGGGATACAAGAGAGGCCATTATAGATATATCAGAGTTTCTTCCTACATCTCACAAATAACCACTATACTGAAACTTGCCTTCTCCTTCTCCAAGGGAATTGCTCTAAAATCTTTTTAGGTATATACCTCCTTAGCCTGGACGCATATCAGTTTGCAGAGGAATGAAGTTGGATGCTAGGAAGTACCTTGGCAGACAAAAGGGTTTAGGCCACCTCACAGGCAAAGTTGTTATTCTCCCCTCCCACTTGTACAACAGGACCCTCTCAGGGCTCTATTTTCTGCTGGGCCCAGCTTCTGATTTCCCCTGCCATGGATTTAATTCCTGGCAAGTAGCCAAAGCATTAAACTTTTATTGTTCAATTTACCACAAGGGCGGGGCCTTGCTTTAGTGGGCCGAGGAGGCTGTGGCTGTTTCCAAGCCCGAGTGTCACACCACATTAGCAACTGCAGACTTTTGAGGGCTGCGTTTCTTTCAGTTTGGTTAAATTCTTGGTTAGAACCAGAACAGTACACTCACACTTGAAGTTTTAAAGCTAGGAAATTGTAAAAACAGCATAGGCAACTTTTAAAGATCATTCATAATGGTTGTAGCTATCAACATATGTGACTGACCTTGTGTGGTTTCTTTATGTCTTCCAAACAGATATATTAAATGGGTGTGCAGTTTCCTTAGTGTCCTAAAGTCAGATGACAACATGAGGACCAAGTAGTTAGTAGTTTTCTTCTAGCATAGCAGGGATTGTTAGCCAATCCCATTACAGTATGTAAATTACTTGCTGCTGTTCAATCTATAAAAATTCATCTTCAAAGAAAATTATTGGGCTGGTAAAAATATTTTTAATAATGACCACAGAAGCCATATTTGTTTTTCTTTGATGTTCTTCCGAAGACTCTTCTGGTTTTAATCAGATTGTTCCCACATAAAATACAGTGGAAATCTACAATAATAAAATCCCTATTTCTATGTCTGTGGGGAAATAAACAGGATGGGAGACTGTCTTTTTAAGGGGCTTTCCCATTGCCTTCCCCTGGCCTCAAAGCCTCTATTACTGGTGGGTGTTTTGGCATCAGTTAAGGGCCTTCAATCCTTCCCTCCCTCCATGTTTTGCTCTTTCATTAAAGTGTTTCTGTTGTCTAATTATATCCTTTCAATCAAATTAGAGACTGCAGCATCTGGTGAGGGCTCTAACTGCTGCCATCTGCACCTCGCATATACAGGCCTTTTCAGCTGAGAATCACTCAACTTCCAAATGGCAGGAAGAGATTTGGAAAAAGTTTGGTTGGAGGGAGGTTAACTTAAAAGGAACATCTTCAAAGGCTGGGTAGGCTGCCCTTCTTGCTGTGATATATGCCTGGCCATGCAGAACTTCATTGGCTTGGATCTCCAAAGATTCCTATTCAGATTTTCTGGCACATGAAGGGTTTGTCTGATGGTCTTAGCTGAAATGACTAGGCCCTCCCTTCCCTGTTATGGTTTTGGAGGGGCCTGGGTGGAGCTGAGATTTTCCTCTCCTGAGAACAATCTTTTGTTATATGACCACTCATTAATGGATATGACACTTTCTGTTTGACCATTTTTTTCTAACCTAGTGATTTCAACAGAAGGAGGTTTTGCCCCAGGGGACATTTTGCAATACTTGGAGGCATTTTTGACTGTCACAGCTGAGAGGGTGCTGTCAGCTATCTAATAAGCAGAAGGTAGAGATCCTGCTAAACATCCTAGAATGCACAGGACAAACACCCCCACAACCCATCCTAAAATGTCAGTAGTGCTGAGGCTGAGAAATGCTGTCCTAATTGTATTATTTTTTGCCTTTCCTTTTACTGTGGTCTAGGAAGAGGCAACTCTAATCAACTTCTTTTTTCACTCTTAAGAGTAGATTCTTCAGTATCTACACTTTAACATTCTTCAGTATCTCCTTTAACATTTGTGTAAACTGTTTCAGAAACCTAAATGGAATAAGGTCTGTGATTCACTATGTCTGTCTAGTCTCTCTAGAGAGTCAGATTGCCAAATTAAATATCGGATGGCCAATTAAATTTGAACTGCAGATAAGTACCAATACCTTTTACTTAGTATTTACTTGAAATTCAAATTTAATTGAGCATCTTGTACTTTTTTGCTACATTTGGCAAACCTACTCAAGATTCATAGAATACTATGTGAAACTTTAAATCTTAGGTAATCAGAATTATTCTCTTGTCCACTGTTTGTTTTATTCTTGTTACTCTGGAGGGGGCTAGAGATGACAGCACTGCCAGTTCCTGCCTGTTCACAAATGCTACAATGAGTCCTTCTGCCCTAAACTGTCTTCCCGGCCAGAACATCTGAAATCCATTTCTTGATTGTATTTTTATGTTAGAGCCAATTAACAAGTACTTATCAAATGTCTACTGTGTGCTCAGCCTCTGTAACCAAAACTCATCTCTGTGACAGATTTCAGAAGTCTACAACTTTCTTGCTTCAGAGTTTATTTGGAAAATGTACTCTAGAGATACATTATCTACCTGTCAATGAGCTGTCCCCACTGAAGAACACTTGTTTTGCTTGCCCATCCCATATCAACTAAGAGAAGCTGAAAAGCCCAGAGCCTGGCTTCCATGGACCATGGGCTACCCTTTGGGACTCCATTATTGGGGAAATTTCTTGCCATCTGTCATTAAAAGTAAGTCACAGGCATTACTGATAAAAATTGTCCACAAGCTGGGTTATATCATTTTATTCTTTTTAGTCTGATTGAGATCTTTATGTGGTATTAAGTAGGAATATTGAAGTGATAGTCTAGTTGTGGCTTTGAACCAGCCATCTCCTACTTAATTCAGAAAATAAAAAATGTATGTCATTAAAAATAGGGAAGAATAAAAAAAAAAGGGTAGAATATTTCTCCTATTATATGTGACTTTACCATTGATTTCCTTTAAATAGCAAAGTCCTCTAGTTTAAATAACAAGTATTTGACTTTCAAATGCTTGGTTTACATAAAATTTCCTGGGACTTCTCATGAATGATTTAGGTCAGGAGGCTGACATAAAAGCATAAATTGGTAAGGAAATTTGGGCACTCAGAATGTGTCTGTAACAGATTCCCTCTTCCCCAACTCCCCATTGTCTACTTCCCACATTCCACAAACATTTGCCAGCACCCTCTGTGTGGTCTGTCCTTGCTGAGGATACAAAGGTAAGATGCTTGGGGTTGAGGGTAGAGCATGTGCTTAGCACGTGCAAGGCCCTGAGTTGAATCCACAGCACCACACACAAAAAAAAGGAACAGCTGAATGGGTGAGGGGATGGGAATCTGGGAATGTAGTGCAGCAGTCGAGAGCTTGCCAAACATGCATGAGACTCAGTTTGATTGCCAGCACTTTGAGGGGAGAGGGGTAAGATTATTGAGAAAAACATGCTGTTGGAAGCAAGGCTAGGTGCTTTTTGAGCAATTACAGTTCAAGATGATCAAACCTCTAAGATCTATGGCAGGTACCATGTCACTTGTTTTAGATCCCCTTGCTCCTATAGGAGTATAATGTTATCCATTCTAGACCTAGCATTGAATAGTTCACCTTTTGTCTTTTTGTTTTTTTAGAGTTGACTTTTATTTTTTTAAATTTTTTTTTTTCCTTCTGGTACCGGGAATCGAACTCATGACCTTGTGCTTGCCGGGCAGGTGCTGTGCCGCTGGGCTGAATCCCCAGCCCCTAGAGTTGACTTTTAATGAACTGAGGTATTATCTGTCAGAAAGCTGGACTTGAAGCTTTAAATAGTTCATACTTTCCATGAGCAAAAGCTTTCTAGCATGAAATTCTATTTCAAGATTGAGATGGCTTTTATAAATAAATATCTGAAGTAGATTCATTTGTACTTATGTATTATATTGATAAATGGTTTACACCATCCAGGTATGATAGAGTATGTTTGGTTGGTACTGGCAGTAAAATCCATCAAAGTATTTTGCTTAATTAATGAAATGTTTTTCTTTAAGTTCTGCTTCTCACTTCTGACTTCTCACTATCTTGAGTCTGTGTGTGTGTGTGTGTGTGTGTGTGTGTGTGTGTGTGTGTGTGGTTGGTTTTGATGCAGTCAGGCTGGTCCTGAGTTCACTTTAGCCCAGGCTGATCTTGAACTCCCAATGATCCTCGTGCCTCAGCCTCCCCAGTGCTGGAATTATAGGGGTGTGCCACCACATCTGGCTACCATTTTGAGTCTTAAACTGAGGCTTGGCTTAATCTCTGTGTATGTTACAGAGTTACATGCTGATAGGTTAGTAGTCATTTTTTTTTTTTTTTTTTCTCAAAAACTGTCATTGCTGGGGGCATGCTCAGTTATAGAAACTGAGACTTACATAGAAACTTACGTGCTTTTGTGAGACCCTCGGTTCAGCCTTCAGTACCATGAAAGAGAAAGCAAAAAAGCAAAACAAAAAAACCCTCTTTTTTGGGCTTCAATTCAATGTTTATTTGTGTTTACAATATCCTACATGATAAATTGAAAGTCCTCAAGCACTGTTGCATATTCATGGTGGCTATTCCTGGCAAAAACACATGTACTTTACAGTGACAACCATGACATGTTTTCCAGTGGGCCCTGCTTGGGTAGGAGGGGAGCTTAAGGTGACAGCCAGATGGGAACAGAGTAGCACCCAAGCTCTTTTATTCTGGACCTTCTCTGCCTCAACAGCTATTTGGTTTTTTGTATTTTTATTTAACAATAAGGTCCCCTCCTTGAAGTGTTCGTACAGGTCTTCCAAATTTAAACTTCTAGTCCAATGCTTACCATAGGTTTAGGTTTTATTTGGAAATAGTATTTTAAGTAATTCAATATTTTGTCTGCTAATAGACATGAATAAATTGGAGATTCAAGTAGGATATCTCAAGTCCTCTTCAAAAAGTGTAAATTCTTTAGTTAAAATTACTTTGAGAAGCAGAGCCTGCTCTGTTTTTGTGGTGAATGTGTGTGGGGGAGGTGTGGGTGTGGGTGTGGGTGGTGTTGGGGTTTGATCCCAGGGCTTCATATGTCTTAAGCACATGCTATACTATTGAACTACACCCGTAAACCCTGTTAATGTTTTTAAAGACACTGTCTCCTCAATGAAAAGGAAGATCTAAAAGATATTTTAATGGAAAAGCTACTGATGTTTAAAAAATTACAGTGATTATTTGTGTGGTAATTCTACTTTGGGCAGAAGTACAGCTTGTTCTTTGGTCATTGTGCACAGTTAATATATAGTCCAAGAGCAGAATACATGAATGTCTGTCTTGGTTTTAGATGGCTAGATTTATTGCTGATTGGGTTTATGGTTCTTGAAAAGAAGCTAAGGTAGATTAATTGCAAAACAACATGCTAATAACTATTCCAAGATGTTCTTTAAACATTTTTTTTTTTTACTATGGGAAATTTAGAGTGCACAAAAATAGGAGACTATGAGGAAGTCATGTATCCATTTCCCAGCTTCCAAGATTATCAACATTGACCAAACCCCTTTGCTTCTCTCCACCAGGTTTTTTAAATATTAATTAATTATTTAATTTTTTATTAGTACATATTTGCAGTACATAATGTTTACATCCCATGTGGGGATTTGTACATGTACAATAACACAGTTTGATTCCTTTTTCATCCTTCTCCTTTTCCTTCCCTTGCCCCTCCCTCCATCTTTGTCTCCTTCCCATTTGAGAAAAATCTGTCTGCCTATTTCCTATTATCTTTTATTTTGCTCCCTATAGTTTGAATTTCTTTTTTTTTTTTTTTTTCCGGTACCGGGAATCGAACTCACGACCTTGTGCTTGCCAGGCAGGCACTGTGCCTCTGAGCTAAATCCCCAGCCCCTGAATTTCTTATATAAGAGAAACTACTCAATATTTAAACTTGTATTTTACTTAACATATTTTCCTACAGATGATTCAAGTTTATCTTTCTTTATCTCCAAGTAGTATTCCATTGTGTATAAATACCAGATTTTCTTTATCCATTCATTTGTTGATGCACATATAGGCTGTACCCAAGATTTAGCTATTATGAATGGTGCCATTATAATCATGAGTATGCATGTATCACTGTAATGTAATATCTATGTCATTTTGTAACAAATCTCATATTTCATCTGTAAATATTTTAGTATATATCTCTAAATGATAATTATTCTTTTCAAAAACTTAGTAGTATTATAATATGCCTAAAAAAAAAAAATTCCTTAATGTCATCAAATACCCAGTCAGGATTTAAATGTCCCTGGTTGTCTCTTTATAGTTCAATTAGGACCTAAGTAAGGTACATTTTAGATGGTGTGAGTCTTTTTTTTTTTTTTAATTTTATTTTTATTTTTTCTTTTTTGAGAAAAGGTCTAGCTTTGTAGTACAAGCAGTCCTTGAACTCACTGTGTAGCCCAGGCTGGCCTTGACCTCTCAGTGATCCTCCTGCCTCAGCCTCTGGAGTGCTGGGATTACAGACATGCGCCACCACACCTGGCTAGATGGTGTGAGTTTTAAATCTTTATTAACCCTTAGGTTTATGCTCTTTTTCTTTTATTTTTGCAATGTTGTTAATTTTTATTGAAGATGTAGTTTCTTAGCCAGCTGTCATGGCTTTTTAGCTATCAGTTCTTTCTTTTCACATCATTCCAGACTTTTGAATCTTAGTTCCATTGTGTTAGATCTTGTAATAGCAGGTACAGTATTTTGAGTTTAGACTGTAAAAGGACATTAAGATCATCTGTCAAATCTCTTCATTTCATAGGTAAATAAACTGAGGGCAAAAAACTAAGCGCCCAAGTGTGTGGGTGGTTTGCTCAAACCATAGCGTGTCAGCCACTTACCTGGTATCATTTCCTCTTACTCCAGTGACTCTCAGTATGTACTAAGTATAGTGGGCCCCACTCCTAACTGTATTCTCTCCACTGTAGATCTGATAACCTTTCTCCACATTATCACAGAAATCACTATGAAAGGTGAGAGAGTATCCTGTCATAGCCTCATGATGTTGGGTGGAGAAGATTCGGCATCACTGTCTTGCCAGAATCACATACTCCTTTACCATAATGTTGTGCGTAAGCAGTCAGCATCGTGTTGTGCTCCTAAGGCAAAGGGTGGCTTGCCCCAGAACATGGGCTTGGAAGATGTACCCACAGGGCACCAAGTCTGTAGCTGAAACCCAACAGAGCAGCAAGTATGCTGTATGCACACTTGACAACATTGTCATACTGCTAATTAGTAAGAGATTTTCCACCAAAGCCTTATCTCTCTATAAACTACCCACCTACCAAATTTCATAAACATTTTAAAAAGGACAGAAGATATTTCCATTGGAAAATGTTTTCTGCTGTCTTACTGCAAGGTGCTAGAATTGAATTTAATGTGTACTGCCTCATGTTAATTCCATACTAGGTTAAACCAGCCAGATTTCTGCCAACATAAGATCAACAGAGATGCTAAGTTGTTGCACATAGAACAGAGACTGGGTGGCTTAAAACAAACAAAAAAACAAAAAAACCAGAGTCTCTCACAAGAATCGTATGTAGAGATCCAACTAGTAATTTTACCAGAAAACCAGGAATCTTAAAAACTCAATATAGAAATATACTCTATTTCTGTTTCCTTCTTTCTTTTTCTCCTTCCTTCTTTCTTTCCTTCCCTCCTTCCTTCCTTCCCTCCTTATTTCCTTCCTTCCTTCTTTCCTT